TAATTATATAGACACAAGCAATTATGTATTTCATACGCTTCTTTCAATTTATATGTACTTTTAGGTGATACTTCGAGAAATTTTGGCAAATTGGGTGCTATTGCCAGCAATTGATGCACTGGCAGATCCAGAAAATATAAATATGTTAGTGACATTATCCACTCATCATGAGACTACTCTATCTAACGTTGCAGAAACTATTACTGTACCAATACTCCAATCCTGGGTGACTCTTCCAGCAATGCATTCACATATCACACACAGTTGCTTCAAACCATCTTTAAATGAAATTTTAAATGATCCTGAATTGTTATATATGTTTATGCAACACATCAAAGAATCAGGACCCATGAATCTTCTTCAATTTTGTTTAGATATTGGTACATACATTAAATTTTTGATATAATTTAATATAAAATTTTTTCATAATATATATTAATAATTAATTTTATTTACTTTTAGATGATCTCAGCAAACGTATGTTAAATCCAGAAATGTCGACTACCGCTGAAAAAAATTTATACATAGATGTTCGGAATATGCACACGATATACCTTGATCCTGATGGTTCAGAATATTTATATTTACCATTGCATATATCAAAAGGCATACGACAAAGTAATTTATAAATTTATAAATAATTTCAGTTTAAAAAAAAATATGTTTACACACATACATGTTTATTTCCAGTATTAGAAGGTGGACCAGAAAAAATTCAAGAACTACGAACATCACGACCCTTTTATCAAGCTCACCAAGAAGCACACGCACTCCTAGAAAGTACTTGTTTGCCATCATTCCATCATAGTTATCAAGTAAATGACATTTTATCTTTTTTTTTCTTCCTCTACATTCTATATTTAAAATTTTGAATACATTAAATATTAATCCTTAATATATCCATTATTAAATCTTTAATAATGAAATTTTATATTCTAATAATAACTACTTATGTGCTGTATGTTTTAGTTATATAAACTCTTGTGCGGTCATTTGTCTGAACAAACAAAACCTACTGCAGCAGCTAAGTAAGCTCCTAAAATGTACACATATCCATGTGTTTCTAAATTCTTTAGAAATATTATTTTTTAACACTTTAATTTTGCTATTTTCATGATCATTTATTTTTTTATTGTATGTATAAGTTGTACAACTATACTTACTATAGTTTATATGAAATAGAGCAATTTCTTAAGAGTATTTTTCAATAAATAAAATAGACACTATATTTTATAAATTTAGATATAATTTACATATGCTAGTTTTCAATAAAATTTTCATAATTATAATAATTGTATGAACACATATATTTAATTATAGTGCGAGAGGAGGTACATCTACTCCTCCTATGCGATTTAATAATCAAGGGGGCAAGGTCGATGGCGTTTTACGTACAACTGCAATCGATGGTACTCCGTTTCAACTACAAGACGTCTATCCAGTTGAAGAAGTAGATTGCACATCTCGAGCGTATAACGAAATCAAAGGCTTTGGCGATAAGAGTAATCGCGACTTAACAACATGGCGAGTTGCCGTTCCTCACGTAGACGGTGGTGGCACGCAACCAGTATACATGATTGCCATTCATAGCGTTGCGGAGGCTAAATCGTGGACAGTCTTGCGGCAAGATCAAGATTTTTATACATTGCGGACACGGCTTATCGAGTTCCATGGTGACAAGGAGTTGAATGACTCACCATTACCGTCGCGCAAAAACCCGCACTTGCCCCTTGCAACCCCTAATCGTCAACGTTACGAGGAGTTTCTACAGAAGTTGCTGTCCAAACCGATGTTAAGAAGTAGCGAGCTTCTTTATACCTTTCTTACAACGCCGAACTTGAAACCGTACTTCGCGAACTACAGCACGCCCGACATTGGCATCCTTTACCAGAGTATGGCTTATAAATTGCGGAAAGAGAAGGGACAGCATCTCGATAAATTCATGAGTACTTTCTTAGCGTCTACGAACACGAAATACGAACACATGGATATGGGTGTTGAGCCATCGAGCGAACATCTCGGTGAAATGGAGAGCAAAGGAAGAAAGCTGATAGATGATGTATTTGGCAATAATCTGAATCTACCAGTTACTTTCCAAAATTTTCCGTGCAGTCTACCACAGCGTGATCACATGAAAGGTGCAAGTTTATGCATTATAGAAGCTCGTAAGTTCAAAGCTATCTCATCTTTTATATTATATGCATTCATAATTGTCTATGACGATATTAAAAATAATGTTATTATGTTACAGTCGATGGTCTACTAAGTTTACCTTCGATTATTTCACGACTCTTCTGGATATTGGCCTTTTTATTGCGTAAAAGAATAGATCCTTATGTGAACGCAATGTTCTATAACACTTTAGTTAAACTTCTAAGTGGTGGCCGCGCTTCCATCGTTGTTAAGCTTCTACATGCGAAAATAGTGGGTAACAATTATATGAGAGACTTTCCTTCGCAAGGAAAATGTCGAAATTACTACGAAACGGCGAAAGAGGGACTGCATTCCTTATGGTGGTTAATGATATTCCCCAGGCCTTGGAACAATCTGATGAATTCTCTCTTAGATCCTTTACAAAATGCACCATTCAATAAACATCTAGCATATATTTTACTAGATCACCTCCTAGTGAATCTTTTCCCAGAAATGACTGCATAACATCAGGATCGTTTTTTAACGACCATGAAAATATTGTATATAATGTTAATTCTCTATAAATTTATGTTTCTTCTTATACATGTAACATAATAACTTTGTAAATAAAAATTCTTATTGAGCTCTATCAAAAAGTATTACATATAAAAACGAAAGTGATAATTAAATATTCTTGCACGCGATAAAAAAAATAATAAGCGTAATACGTAAATAATAAAATTCATTATGATAGCAGATAAATCATTGGAATAGATGACACATTTTTGCATGATCAAAAAATAATGGTATGCGTAATAAGTAAAATTAATTTGTAATGAATCATATATTTAAATAGACCGCGTTCTCCGTCACGTGACGTCTAATCGGTAAAAAGCATGCTCATTGTATTCTGATAGATTGGTAGACGATAAAATCATTCTCTTCTGTAAATTTGATCGCCTGTTAAAAATATAGATACGATAATTTTCTTTGACGATTTTTGTTGAACAGTATATCATCAGTATATAAATATAAAAAGATAGCAAATATCTTTAATTTATGAATTTTATACTTATATATATTTATATTATACATATTTAATGGTATAATATATAAATGATATAAATATTTATGTAATTTACTTTTCTGTTAAAATTATTTTATGTATAAATTCTTATAGTTTGCAAAACAACTAATAATCTCGAAGTAATTCAAACATTGTATGCAAATAAAATTTCAAGAGTTAGTTTCCAAAAGTTAATAATATTGATAATATACGTAATGTTATCGAGAGTGAATATTATTACGTGATAATAGTTTTAATAAATACTCTAACATGTGTAAAAACATAATAATAATTGCTTTGTACCAGAAAAAGTATAAGATTCTTTATATCATATGGAATTTTTATTCGCTAAGATTTGAATTTATGACAACACTTTCATTGACCTTCCAATTTTCATATCTATACATTCTCGAAATTGATAACTATCAAGTGACAATTGCAACATAGAATATGATTTACAGATGTTTGCTTTTCGGTAATACGTTCGTTTTTTATCACGAAAAAAATTTATTACAATTGTAAAGTCATGGTAACGTGACTTCCGTGTCGAGTATAATCGCTAAAACTGATTGCCCAAGAATTCTCTGGAAAGCCCCAGATTGATTTCGGTTCTCCGAAAAGGTAAAGACATCGAGAATGAACGACGGAATAGGATTGGGGACCACCGTTCGCAGGCAAGCGAGTGAAAAGCGGAACGATATGGGGGAGAGGGGGGAGGGCGAGTGCAAAGAATGAAGAGAGGAAGGAGGACACAGCAGCGGCAGACTGGCTGGTGGAGCAAGTCCGAGGTAGTGCGAGGGACGATGACGTGTTCAGCGAGAGGAACAAGGACGAGGAAGTTTGCGCAGGAACGTCGTTGCGACGAACCTTGCGAGGAAGTACGTTCCCGCGGGGAGGTACAAGTTCTTATTATCCTTCTCCGTGTTTTAGCACGGGGGTATTTATATAATAATGAATGGATTTGTATATTTTTAATAAATAGAATAGGATAGAATTTATTCACTTTAGCATAAGTAAGTCAAAAAAGGACATTTAACGAATAATATATAAATCAATAAATTCTCTGAATTAGATTAAGTAGAATTTTTCGTCATCGTCGCTCAGATGGTTTCCGTAATAATTACTTCAGTGTGATTTTAACCAGGAAAGCAATGTAAATAGACTTGCTTATTTCGATTTATTGTATTATTCAATATGTGATATATTTTGCGTATATATGTATATATCTTCTCTAATTGTAAAACTTTTTAGAGTGAATCTCACTTAGAAAAATAAAATCTGATTTTTAAATTCTATCAATGTAAGATTAACTTCAATCTCGGTTTATAATTCTTGATTTTTTTCTAACTCTACGAATTATAAAAAGATAAATAGTAAATTAAACCGAGATTAAAGTTATAATCTTACATTGATGGAACTGGATCTCTTTAGAATGAAACTAAAAAACCACTAGAAAAAATTTAAAGAGAGTCGGAACGCAGATAAAGATCGTAATTTTTCAACAAGTAGATACATCGTATTTACATTCGAAGTTGCCGAGAAACGGTTAGTTACCGGACGTTCAGGTCATACATCGTGGTCTATTGTACATACATACCCCAGTAAATACCAACTAAAAGTAACACAACATCAACTCAACTATTACGTAATACATGTGTTATATCACTTGTTTATATTATTGAACGCTCTCTAAATTCTTTGGAGTAATATCTCATTCTAAAGAGTGAATATTAAGTCAATTTTAAAAAAGAATAAACCAATGTAGGATTAACTTTGATCTCCAATTACTCTTTATCTCTTTTCTAATTAAACTGAGATTATAAAGTCCATCTTTCATTGGTGAAACCGGGCTTTAAAATGAGATTTCATTCTTTAGAGTGAGAATCATTCTAAAAATTTTAGAGTGTGAAATTATAACAATAACGTTATGTTACTGTTAATTGATGTTGTTTACTGGGACATCGGTACATCGGTTCATGAACCAATGGACCAACGCGGAGCAAAAGAAAGGGCGGAACGCGGTGGATGCAGCCGAATATGGAATGCATCGGGACTGCGGACGTCGACGCGGCGGTCCTGGAGTCGGGCGCCCGGTGGGATAAGGAGAGGGGAAAGAGGGCCCCGTAGAAAAGGAAGGGCCAGTAGAACGGAGTGAGTTGAAACCTAGAACGGGGTCCGAGGCATACGTTCGAATCGAACGCGGCCTTGCCTAAACTTTAGCGATAGTTTGCTCGCTCGCGGCTGCGCGGATATCCACGTTTCTTGTGGAACAAGTGAACAGCTCGACACGACGAGTGTTTCGCGACACATCACGCGACGTCATCGAGAAGAAGCGAGAGAGAGAGAGAGAGAGAGAGAGAGAGAGAGAAAAGCAAAGAGACGAGAGGAGTGCCCGCTCCGTCGGAAAGTGACCAAAGTGCATCCTGGCTCGACGTATCGGAGCAGCAGGTAGAAAGATTGCAGGAGGAAGCAGATCGCAAGGGAGAGAAAGAGCGAGGGAGGAAAGGATCCGCGCGCGTCTAACGTGTGCGCATCGGCGTGGAACTCGGCGAGGCCGGATTCCGCGTGCCCTGCGCGTAACATAGGTGCGTGCGTGCGTGCGTGCGTGCGTGCGCGCGTACGTACGTACGCGGCGTGCGTACGTGCGTGCGTGCGCGCGCGCGGGGACCTGTTGATAGGTCGTGCAGGTGTACGAAGGTGGGCCCCGTGTCCCCCCCCACTCTGCCTTCTCCCTCTTTCGTCACCGCCGCCGCCGCCGTCGTCGCCACCGCCACCACCGCCACCACCGCCCGCCGTGGGCCGCTGTCGCTGCCGTCGACGACGACGACGACGAGAGAGAGCATACACTCTCGGTTAACGCACAGCGCGTTATGATCGCCTGATCGACGAAAGGATAATTCGGTGGCATCGCCGCTCTGCCCGTTATCGGGGCCGGATGCCCTCGCCGTCCGTATATGGTGTCGTGGAAAAAAACAGAGCTCGCACCAGACAAGGAATAACAATTGTCGTCACGCGAGCGCGGATTTTGAGTGAGAAGCGCGCGAGCGCGCGCGTGCAGGTGTTTGTTTGTGTGTGAGTGCGGATGCACGGGATCAAACCATTGGAACCATTGGAACCATTGGAACCATCTAAAAATTATCGTCGTCGCCTTTACGCCGTTTCCCTTCTTGGATTCCTCTCCCTTTCCCCTCCTTCCCCGCCGTCCCTCTTTCCGCCGCGCGCGGACTGACCATCGGCGGAACACCGGAGAGTGCTGAGTGCCCTCCTGGTTTTTGCGTTGTGGACCGCGCGCGCGCGAGAGTGGTGCCAAGCAGCGTGAGCTGTGAGGTGAAGTTACGCGTCACGCGTGTGCCTGTGGTGCAGTCCGTCGGGCCCCGACTTGAGATGCCGTGGCTGCTCAAACTACGGACTCGCGATTAGTTAGGTGAGCAACGACTTACGACTACTTGTTTTTCTTTCCTCTTTCTCAATCTTTCTTTAAATATCTAGAGGTGCGCAACGTTTCTCCTTTTATCTTTATCTTTCAACCTTCTCTTTTTGTGTTTTTTTTTGCATGTTGTTTTTCTTTATTCCATCTTTTTCTCTCTCTCTCTCTCTCTCTCTCTCTCTGTCTCTGTCTCTGTCTCTGCTCGGCGACGCTCGCGACGCACTCGCGCGACCGCGAGATTCCTTCTTCTATTTCCTTTCTTTCCCATCACATCCCACCGCTCTACTCTCCGACCCACTTCTTCCTCAAGCTCTTCTGGCTCCTCAACGGTTGCCGCCGCTCATTGTCGCCGCTGCCGCTACCAACCGCTACCCCGCCGTCACTCGTCAGCCTGGCCCGATTATTTTAGACGATGACGCGACTCTACGCTGTATGCCTGTATGTGACTCGCACGCGCTTCGGAGCACCGCGCCGACCTTATCCTTGTATATTCCAGCGCGCCGCATTCCAGCGCCCGCTGGCAGCGCGAATCAGCGCGAATCAGCGCGAATGCGAATGCAAATCCGCCGCTCGCGTCAGGATGTTATTTCCATGGTATATAGATTATGGAGGCGGCGCGTGCAGAGAATGACGCGCGGTGCGGTGCGGTGTGGTGCGGTGGTTGTTTACCGCCTTCGTCGTCGTCGTCGTCGTTTCTCGAATCTCGCTGAATCTCGCTGAATCTCACGGGCGAGTCACGACTCACCACGACTCACCACACTCACGAGCACTCACGAGTTCCGTCAATTGAGGGGCTTGGCAACGAACGAATCGGAGCGACCGGCGCGGCGCGGCGCGGCGGTGCGGGGCGGCGCGCGAGTGAATTCCTACGAAATCGCCCTGCTTGCCCATTAACGAACCGCGGCGCGGGTTCGGAGCCCATTTCGGAGGGGGCCGTGCCGAGCGAGCGCGCGGGTGGTCTCTCCCGTCTCTCCCAAAAACGTCCGTGAACATCCGGAGAACGGAGACTTACGGACGTTTTCCCCCGTCGCATACCTGATCCGGTGGGTCCGCCCGAAGAAATCTCGGATCGTTCTGTCCGTTCGTCTATCCATCTTAACCGCCTCGGTGGTCGGCTGGTCGCCGACGAGAGGCTATACACCGCAATGCTGTGTACCCGAGTATATCATGTATACGTGTTTATTCGCCTCAGCCTATACCTTTTGCCGCCCGCGCCCACCATAATCTTGCACCGCGAGGAATGCAAGCGTGACGAGCCTTTTCCGCGCGAATGCGTACATCGGTAAATTCATTGTCCTTGAAAAACAAGTTGGTCGCTACGAGAGAGGCGTTTCTCGAGGAAAGGATCTACGGATTACCTAACGCGCAACGAGAGTCGCTTGATCGCCGATCCACACCGCGCGATTCCGTTCCGTGAGCGAGCTAACAGCGGTCCAATGTAAGAGAGGCGGCAGCGGCAGACAGCTTGGCTCTGGTCCCACCAACCTTTTCTTTCTCCTCGTCTCTCTCTCTCTCTCTCTCTCTTTCTCTTTCTCTCTCTCTCTCTCTGCACGTTCGTGCTGCCAGGGACCGCACGAGAGGACCGCGAGCCCTCGTGCCGCGGATGGACTAACGATGTATCCCACTGAGCGGTATAAACCGCCATATTGTATCCCGCTGTCATCTGCCAAGCCCGAGCAAAGACGCGCGATCGGCGCAAATCGGAGTACGATCAATTCTAGCATCGCGATCAAACGATAATTCATCTCTGATTCTGCTCTTCTTTTTCTTTTTCCCCAACGAATGCGATCATCGTCAAGCATATGTGTATTTGTACGTACATATATTGTAGGAAACACATTGAAGAAATAGTTATAAGTATAATAAAAATTAAATGTTTGAGAATAAAGATGAAAGAAAATGAAAAAAAATGAGAAAAGATAACATTAGAATAGCTGAAGGTGATAATTTCCTATTCTCTTGTTTTCGGTTAGTGAAGAATTATTTTAGTATTATTTGTATTATTAAAATTATTTCACATTTTATATTATATTCGCACATTTTCAATATTCTGCATAAAGGAAATGATTTGTCTAATACAAAAAGGAAAAAATTGAAATGATACCAAAATTATATAATACTATTGGCGGTTTTAGTGTTAAAATATCTGTTCTTTTTTGAAGAAAGTTTTGGAAATGCATACATTGGTGCAATAAGTTGGTGCAATAAGTTGAAACAAATAAATTTATTTATTACACCAATGTACATCAATTCAGAACTTCTTTAAAAAAAAATAGGCCATTATTTATACATATGAATTTTAAATACGATTCGTATAGTGAAAGAATTTTCATTCAAGAATATCAAGAACTCATACCATAACATCATGCGTTTGTGTTTTATAGAACTGAAAAGAGGAAAATATCGTGTTCAATTACGAGAGAAGTGGTATTTTGTTAATAATGTATCTTCTTAATGTATATTTATTACATGGTTTATGATTCATTCGAATGCCTTGCGATTTTCCGTATTTAATTTCATGTCACTAAGACGTTTCTATTATAGCACCTTCTTTTTTCGTTCAATATAGAAACTATTTTAATTCTCTTGCGTTTAATTACGTATATGCGAACTAATTGCCCAATTTGCGATTAATAATTTTTTAATGATTCTTGAACTTACAGTTTCAATTAACTTTGACAGAATGCATTGTTTACGTAGATTGCGGAACGATTTATGCTCACACGTTCTTTGAATCATTAAGTGCGTTTAATAGGGAAAGCAGCTTTGCAACTATATGTTGTAACATTCTTTAATATAATTGAATCTTGTCTTTAGTTTTGAATCCACTAGATTTGAATCAATCGTATATTAAAAAATCTTATAACAGTTAACATTGTTGTTTTTACTGAATGCAGTCATTCTTATTAGTGTTTAGCAAGAAAAACAGCTTTGCCAACTGTTGCAAGATTCTTTATTGATTGATTCTTGCCTTTAGTTCTTTATTAATCTAAATATCTAAATTAATCATGTTAAAGAATTTTACAACAGTTGCTTTTTCAGCTGAACGCAGCTATTAGGTTTTTGCGTGTTGCTTGAAATTCTTAAAAATTTTTGCAAAACGGGACAAATATATATTCGGGCATTGAAAAGAGAAAAGTGAAGATTCTGAATGCAAAAAGTGCAAGCAACATGAACAATCCTATTGTTTATTAAATATTAAACAAGAATAAATGATGCTTACGAGTGTTGCGAGTTGTGGATCAGACCACAATTTTAAAGTACATTTTATCGCAATTCTAAAAGCAAATATCCTCAAAAATATTCACGCCGCGATATTACATTGCGTATTTATAATTATTTTTTTGCTTTATAATTCCTCGTGCTTTTGCCTCGTGATCGATCATGGAGAGAATATTTAATTAAATTCAAACAATCAATGTGTTTAAGAAAGATGTTTGTTTCCATGTCACGACTAGCAAGATCCGTAAAGTTCCAGAGCTCTATGAAGTTGACACTCCATTGTGAAAATTTCGACATATTAGGTGTTGGAATTAATTCGTAGCGTTTTTAATGAAAGAATGTTATTTATTTCACATGAGCATTAAAAAATACATTAATGAAAGTACTTCCCATCACTTGTAAAACGCTACGAATTAATTCCAACACCTAATAATTAACAGAGTTTTGGCTCTTCCCCAAAAAGGGGAAGTTCCAGAGTTCCTGATAATCCCTCTGATACGATAATTCATTCTGGCGTAACGTTAACGGAAGAAGTCGTTCGCTGATCTCAGCATTTTATACTGAATGAAACCGAGAGTGTGACCAGAGGACGAGAGGGGAATGGAACATATATCCGTTCAGCGTCCATCGAGCGAGTCGCAACGCGCATAAATATTCCCCGCCTTTGAGAAACGCGCGCTTAAAATCGCGGATAAAACCAGTTTTGTCCGGCCGATCGACGGAACTCTACCGTTAATGTATATGGCAAGTATGTCACGGCGCAACAATGTTCGATCGATTCCGAAATTATTATCGAATTTACCGCAAACTTATAGCGAAAGCCGACGAGTCACACTCTCCGAATAGCGAGCGCGAGTCGCGACTTTTTGGGAACGCGAGATCAACTCCACACTGAGAACAATTTCTTGTGTATCTTAAAACAAGATGCAAATTACAAAAGTTAGCGAATTCACTTAGTAGGCGAATCTTTCACTAAAATTATAGATATTCTAATAATTTTGCTCACTTTTGTCATTTTTACCTCATTTCAAGATACAATCGGCCTTCTGATTGAAAATGAACGAAAAACTAGAGAATCGATTGTGTATCTTAAATCGAGATGAAAATTATAGAAGTGAAAAAATTTACTTTAAACGTTGACCGATGAAATTATAAATATTTTAACAAATTTCGTACAATTTTGCGCAGATGCCAAATGCAACCATATTCAAATAGACTATTACATTTATTTAAACTATTATATTTAAACTATATACTGCCGAAAAGATGAGCATTGAAATCTAATGTAGTTTCCATGCAGAATTTAGACTTAATTGACAATATAAGCACACATAATTAAGTGAAAACACAAAAATATGTAAGTAAAAAAATAATGATGTGATGTCGATTCAAATAATCGCGACAAAATAGGTGGTATCTGGCATTCAATTCTCATTGGCTAATTAGAAATGTGTATACGCAATGGCACACCTGAGTTTCTTCCACGATTCTGATCAATCAGAATCTATCTCAATTAGAATTATAATAGAGTCAATTAAGAAAATTCTGCCTATTTTCAATCAGAATTCTAATGCAATCAGACTTTCCAATGCAGAGAATACCGGGGTTATAAATAATTGCGTGTTTTTAAACGAGATGGCTCGATTAAAATGATGAGAGAAAAGACAGGTGCGCTCACTCAAGAGATATGAATATTAATCTAACGAGTGGATGCTCATAAATTTATTAAAAATGCTGGACTTTTTTCACATTGGTGAGAAATTTGGAATTTTTTTTTATATTGACGAATAACCTATCAATTAGATCTGGCACAATGCTCTATCACATTTAAGTTCTCCGATTGAAATTTATCGTATCGCTGCTATTAAGTTTTATTGATCGAATTGTAATATAAAAAAAATCCAGATTTTAATTAATGTAAAAAAATCCAGTATTTTTTACATAAATCTTTTATGTGTGCATCTCATCATTGATTCAGTTGATATCTCTTATTTATGTTTCTCGAGTTTGTTATTTATCGATCTCCAACCCATACAATCGTATTAAAAACTCGTAAAAGTTTTGCATACATAGATTTTGAATTATTATTATGTATTATGATTAAATTCTGACTTATCTATTTATTAAACCGTACATATGATATTTAAACCTTATAGGCTATATTCGTAAAACATTCGCATGTATTTTATGTACTTTTTTACGTACTTACTCGCGCCTGTATTGTTACTAATAATAGAGCAAGTTCATCTAAAAAAGTGTGCGCAAGCTAGCTATTAAGTCCAGTAAGAAATAATAATGTTGAAACTGGGCATGCATTCTCAATTAAATATCGGCTTAATCAACAGTAAAAGGTGATTATAGAAGGTGAATATATCTGGATATAACTGCGATATAAAAAGAAATTCATACAATGATTACACGATTATTTTTGTATTTTCCATTGAGTTTGCCAATCGTCCAATTCATTCTATGAGACTTCGAAAGTATTTTTGAATCACCGTATATAAGATCGTAAAAAAAATCCGCTCGAGAGTAAGAGAAAGCGATTACTTTGAAACAGAGTCCGATTCGACGAATCCCTCCTCATCTATTGGTAGCCCCTGGGAACCAATGACCAATCGAATTGGGTCCTGGGCTTGCTCTTCCTTTGCTTTAATGCTGACTCAGAGAGTCATTATGCAGCTCCGCTAAGGACAATTTTCGAGCCTTTGCTGTATTTTGGGAGATCTCACGAAGTTAAATTAAACTAAATGAAATGCGTCATTTCTTTTTCGCTCATTGAGAGAAAAATGTACTAAATTTCAATAAATATCTGTGCTGAATATTTACTAAATATAAATATAGTATATTTGATATACCATTAATTTATTTTAATTATCCTCATTTTGTTTCAGTAAATATTTATTTACTGTAAGTAAATGTTAAGATAGTAGTATTCAGACAAGTATTTATTAAAATTTACATTTTTTTTTCAGTGTGGAATTGTCAAAAATTAACATAGAATTAATTAATTTCACTTGGCTTCATGGCACTTCGAATAAGTTATTATGAATTAAATTTATGAAGATGCTCAAAAATTTGTTGAAGATGTATAAATCTTTCCCTTGTTTATATTCCTCGTTGATGTCTCAATTATAATTTATCTTTCTAAGGGAAAGTTGTTTTATTCACAGAGAAAAATGTTTAATTGTACCAATAAAGAAGTACGAATATCAGAATTTTGATTATTGCGACTAGAATGTTTAATAGATTTAATTATAGTATCTGATTTGTACTTTTCTGGTTGAATCTAATAAAATTCCAATTAATGTGCGGCTACAAAATTTTTCTAAGTGTTTCTTCCCTGAATTCTTTAGATTACCTAATGCATTTCCTAATGAACACCTCAATCATTCTAAAGGTATTTAAGGATTTGAAAATATATTATTTTTATTTTGTGTGTGTGTGTGTGTGTGTGTGTACTTTCGTTAACATCTTAATTCTTAATCTTTTATTGCATGTTTTTTGTAGATTTTCTTATATATTAAAATAGGAAAAAAATATTGAATTTTCTACAATGAAGTATACTTGGCCGAAAATATTAATCATTATTTAATGTTTTAATACGTATAAATTCGTTTATGCCTGCATTTGTGCTGTGGATTTATCCTTTGTTTCAAGAATCCTTTAAACTTAAGTATAATTAAGGAAACAACAAGTTAGATAAATGAAATTCAGATTAATGAAAAAATTTAGATATTTTAATATTTTTAGCTGTGTCTATTCTCGAGTAAAGATAACAAAATATTTCACTTTAAGTGTATTGTAATGGCATTGTATGACTCATCGCTTTCGTATTGGCTGTTTAACAACCTTAGAGATTATAATTTATCTCTCTAAGCCATCCCTTTCCTAAATTCTTTGGACCTTTGGATATAGTTTTAGACCGTTGTGCATTCTCTAATGAACACTTCAGTCCTGCTGTCATCCTGTTAGGTAAAAGAAGCCCTTTCTAGTATCTTCTGTGATTTTCTTCTGTAGAAGATACATTGTAGAAGGTACTCACTTGAAATCGATTGTAAGAACGTTCTAATATTACTTTTTTCGTACAAAACTACTAAATTTGTAAGGAATAAAAATATTACGATTTAAAAATAAACATGATCATTGCAGTTACATATAATGACTGCGTTTAGCAGAAAAAGTAGCTCTGCAACTCTTGTAAGATTCTTTAATACGATTGATTTATACATTTAAATTCAGTGAAGAACTAAAGGCAAGATCAATCGTATATAGATTTAGATGTGAGAAATTAAAGGCAAGATCAGTCATATTAAATAATTTTATAAGTTGCAAAGCTGTTTTTCCTACTGAACGCAGACAATATTAAATTGTATTTGTGTGTATATTCAGTGATATCAAAAACGGAGTTCCTATGTGATCTCAGTCTAGAGTATTTATAGTCCAGTCTTATTTTAAGAAATGTCTTAAGATATTAATATGACTTTCTGATTGGTTCGTGATATCGTAAAATTGTACTTACGACAGTCTTAAATACAAGAATCGACTTCGAATACCAGTGTAGAAGTTCAGTGCAGTTTCTCTCATTAAGAAGAAAAATGTATAATTTTTGTGTAGCCATAATCTGCCATAATCTGCCATAATTGTACTATCCATAATTGTACAGTAGCGAGTCACTAATCTACAATGATAGTCTCGTTTAACACATTTCTTTTTTTTCGTGCTTTCAGGGAGGTAACGTAAGTGAGTGACGACGTCACGATGCGCATGTCGCTGCCGCTGGGGTTAGTGCTTGTGGCAGCAGTCACGCTGCTAACAAGTGTGAATGCTAACGCGGGGACTTACCTACGCATCGACACGGACACGGCCACGTCGTCGTATCACTTCGGAACGAAGGATCGCGATCAGGTGATAGCCGGGATGGAGGCCAGCTTGCTCTCCCTCTTGGGCTTCACGAAGAGACCGAGGCCGCAAGGTCGGGTGCACGTCCCGAAATCGCTCAGGGATCTTCACGCTCGTCAGAACGCCATCGGTATCGCGGATATAGCGAAGCCGGGTATTCACGCGAGATCGGCCAACACCGTTCGTTCGTTCCCACATATTGGTAAGTTGGATTATATCAGCTGTAGTACGGTTGGAAGAGATACAATTTAAGAACATTGAACACTAAAAATTAACTATTAATAGTAATTACGTAAATAATATAATTAATAATTAGGTGATGTGCATCAAATTGCGACACATGATAACGCATATATTATTTTTTTTTTTATAATACATATTATGTTTTTCTTACTTTTCACTGTTTTTATTATTTTTTTATTTTGTACTCTTTTTGATTATTCTTTTATTTTTTATTTATAAATTTTTTACAATAAAATTATTCGCACATTTAAAATTTTCACGTTAATATTTTTATAAACACACATTAATATTCTTATAAAGATGTTTATTAGCCTCAAAAATTATTGAATTACTTGTCAATTTAATAAGTGATATTATTATACTACTCTAATTCTGTTCACGAATGCGTTTTAAAAATTCAAAATTCACCGAAAAAGATTTAGGCGCGCAGTTTGCAGAATCAGCTATATATATTAGGTTATTTAAAAAGTATCCGCGGTTTTTTGTTCAATTTTTGAATGAAAAAACCGCGGATACTTTTTAAATGACCCAATATATATATATAAATTTACAAAGAAATATTTATGTACTAAGATCCGCTTTTCCCGAATGTAGGAATTTCTTTTATTTAATTAAATTTTATTAATATAATATAAAATATTATTTAGTCTATTCGAATATATGTAATATGCGAAATATAGTTGCAGTAAGGAAATTATTGTTGTCCTTTTTATAAAAATGTGTGTATCATGAAAGATTAAATCTGTATGAAAAAATGTATTTACAGCGATAATCTAATTAAAAATAATTTTGTCAATATATATAATAGTATTGATGAAACAAATAACATCTTGTTAAAGCAAGAGTACAAAATATTTTTTTTATTAATACTATTATTGTGAAAAAAAATTAACTACATTATTTTTAATTATATTAATACTGTTAATACCTTATTTTTTTCTGTATAAAATTATTTTAACGGAAATTGTAAATTTACTGATTATACTGGAAATTATAAAGACAGACACACACACACACACACACACACACACACACACACACACACACACACACCACACATGTATGCGGTCATAAAAAATAGCTCTCTTTATCGTTTTTGGAGACAACTCAATATCCATTTCTACTATAGATTAGCTTTAATTTTGGTTTAGTCTAGCTTTATATCTAGCTTTATAGTTTACTCTATTTATTATATTTTTTTCTATTTATTATATTTATTTTTTTTGATTCTTAGAAAAAGATAAAACGTAAATGAAACCAAGATTAGAATAAATTTACTTAAAAACGGACGTGTCTACTGATAAAGTACATATTTTTGGAAACCATAGAAAGCATTATTGAAATAGAATTGAATAAATTTTGTCGATGAAACTATATTTTGAGTATAGTAGTATGAACAAATCTTTTCGGATGTGAATGAATAAAATTATAGTTACAACAAAATCACTAAATCGGGCTGTTTATAAATTATTTATTGATAAATAAATAATTTGTTTGTATTTTAATAATTTTATTGATAAAACTTCAATAATAGAAATTATGATATAGGTGCATTGATGACTGCATTCAGCAAAAAAAGCAGCTTTGCAACTGCTTTAAAATTCTTTATATTATATATAATATTTAATATGATTGGTTTATACATTAATTTACATTTAGATTCAATAAGGAACTATAGATAAAATTAATTATATAAAGATTTGTGAACTATTTTACAATAGCTGTTTTTACAATTATACAAAGCTGCTTCTTCTGCTGAACGCAGCCAATGATATAGATTGTGCTTCTGAATGAGTTTACTATGTCCTAAACTGATAAACAAAAAAATGATTCTATTAACACGTGTGGACAAACATAAAAACCTTTACTGTTCGCAATTCGTGAATCATTAAACGATGGTAAGAACTAGCGAGTTGGAATTCGTAATTCGAAAACAGGTTGGCGACTCTTTTGACTCTCAGTGAAAGTGCAGTAGTAAACGGAATGCAATGTATACCCGTTATCAATCGTTATTCCTTCTATGTCTCGTTGACAAACGTGAATGACAAATTTTCAAACTATAAAATTTAATAATTCCATATTTTTCTACATATTACTATGTCACTTCTTTCTCGAACGCTGTTATGCGATTATGCAGATCTCTGATTTCTGGGATCATTCTCGCTTTTGCATCAATAACAAGTTAAATAATGTTATAAATAACGTCAATTATGTCATCATAAATATTTCTTACATTAAAAAGAATTTAAAATACAGAATCTTGTACTCCGAGTGAAAAATGGTTGCAATTATCATAATTTAACTATAATATATAGTCATTTTCTTCAGTATCAATTATATATTTTTTGAGAAATATAATTATTATTAATAAGATAGGAGTAATAATTATAGCAGTAATAACTAATAACGGAGCTTCTAATTATAATTATAACGTACAATTACAACTATAAATATCAAAAACTTTTTTCTCAGCATAAGCTTGACAATCAATAAATGCAAAGCATTAATTGGTTACAAAGAATCTATAATGATAATAATTTTACGATGTATAAATATTCTTCTCCTTCACTTCATTTACACGAATTTGTTACTCACGCGGTAATTTTGGGAAGGCATTATCTCGTAAATTACAGGTTTACATTAAGCGTAACTGGCGTAATTAACCTGATTGACATAATTGTAGGCATTAAGGTTTATTAAGCCATGTGCAGGAAACATGTGATTCTTTCTCTTTATAAAAAAAATGTATTATCATTCAGTGAAAATAATATTAGGTGTTGGAATTAATTCGTAGCGTTTTACAAGTGATGGGAAGTACTTTCATTAATGTATTTTTTAATGCTCATGTGAAATAAATAACATTCTTTCATTAAAAAACGCTACGAATTAATTCCAACACCTAATATATTGTGAGAAAATTTTATATTAATAGCTTCATATTAAAGAATATACGAATTTTTTTTAAAAAGATTTCACAATTTATGTATTATTATGTATACGATTAATTTTGTGAATAATACGTATATAATTTCTGGTTGAATACATTAATCCATACGAAAGCTTCTAAGTATTTCAACGATCTTTTTTTAGAATAGCGAACGAATGTAAATGATAAATACGCTGGATATCTGAAATCAAAATATTTTTAATCTTTACAAAGAGATGACAATTTGAATAATTGACTTTTTAGAATCCGTCTTAAGAGTTTAGGGATATACCTGCGAATAATGCGTTGCCTTCCTGCGACTCGCCTCCTGCGTGAAAAGGAGAAGAATGGCATTCAAACGATTTTATGGTTGTTCAACCGACAAAGGGCTTTTCGGCTACGGTGACTGTGAGGAACGTGCCGTTGGATTACGGACTTGAGTGTTCCACAAGGCCTCGATGACAAAAGAAGAAAAGGATCTAGTTCCTTACACATTTTATCTTTTTTTGTGAGTGTATTATTGCCACGATGATGAGACTACCTTGGAATGCCCGAAGGGACTCTCGTAAGAGCCGATATCTTTCGCTCTCAGGAGGTCCAGCTTCCGATGATTCCAATGATTCACATCCGGATATTAGCTTAGGCAGGTCAGCATTCTTTGCCGATCCATTCTTCTTTAAATCTGCGTTACAATGGATAATCGCTTGAAATGATTCTGAAGCTAAACATTGGAATAATAGAAGAACTTATGGGGATGATATAACGCGCGGAGAGAAAGTGCCAAGAGCAATTAAGAAAGATGTGCAATGGAAAGCGATCGAGTATATCATAAGAAACCCGTCTTAATAAATCATTTTGATAAAAGCATATCTGATTATATCCGCGTTGAAGGCTAAATTATAAATGCCACGCTAAAACGTTCCTTTTATTATCAATTAAAATTATTTATCTTCGACATAAGAATCTCATTTCATCGAGATTATGTTATCTCTGAATTAAAAAAAGCGATTAATGATATATTATATATTCGACACTTTCAATAATTCTGCAATCGATGGTTTAATGAAATGACTATGAAATTCTGTTTACTTTATCACGTTTATTATGGAAATTTGCAAGTAAAACCCGATGACATTTCAAGCGCGTCATATATATATACATATATGCACAAAGAAACGCTCATATTATATTTTGTTTACAAACGGCATTGTTCTAATACTTTAAAGATTACGTATGCATGCCTTCTAAGCATATTGTGATGAAAAAACTATCAGTCTTACACAACATACACAACAAAAAAAAGTTGATATTATTTTATATTAAAAATTGAGGATTTAATGTTGTTGACAGCTTTAAAATATTATTTTAAATTTTTAGATAATAAAATATATAATTTAAAAAACATCTAGAAAAAAACATAATTATATACTCATCTATTTATAAAACCGGGGATGAAATTGTAATAATACTTTATGTTCTATAGTATAATAATTTAATATACTTTTATAAGAAAATATGACAATGTTTTTGTAATTTATGCAATGTATTCTTTATTACTATTTTTTTTTTCTAGAATTATTAGTTCGAAGATAATAAAAATAAGGTAATAAAAAAGGTAATAAAAATTTGGAGCGGATCATATATAAAACTCTAACAAGAAGCTCTTTGATATTCCTACTGCTTTATTTCCACAGAAATTGTTAGATTCTGCGTATGTTAGGTATGCATGTGTGTGTGTGTGTAGATATATGTATGTATTAGGATTCAGCGACGTCTTACGAAATTTACATACGCATTACAACTGCGTCTATACGATTGCCTGCTACATCCAGTGTTTTTAAGTTGTTTCCGAGGAACAACTGCGTCATAATGTTAAACGTTATTAGCTATTTTCGTAGAAGCATAACTTAAATTACGTTTGCATGCCTCGTACGTCGTAAAATATTCACGTAGGTCACGCGAACAGAAAATGATTCCGGTGGCACTCCTTATTAATATAAATGTCGTAAGATAATAAATACGTCCAATAAATTCGCCGACACAACAGGACATTAAGAATCACTTCTTTTAAATTTCTAAGTAGCTTTCCCACACGATTCGTGATTTATTTTTAATTCACTCACGACCTGAGATAACATGCCTTCATGAAAAGTGAAAAGTCTAAAAGACATAGATTTTACCTTGGAATGATGATTTTGCTGCGTTGTATTTTTAATTCATTGATTGCTGTTTGACTGAAACTCAACTTGACAAACTGAAACTCAACTTTATTTTTTTTCTAAAAGTTTAAATTTCCTCGGAATGAAAAATTCATTATTAATTACATTTCTCTTTTTGTATTTTTATATGTATATATAAAACTTTTATACTATGTGGTTTTTGAAAACAAAATCTTTTTGATTTAACTCCCCAAATATATAACTCACGGTATTACATAACAGTTATTGCGAAATTATAACATTGATGTTAAGTAACAACTTTTAGTTAATGTCAATTGGAAAGAATACAACATTATATTATATTTACTGAGTCTAAAGTAATTCTTCGTTTACATCTCAAAGTCCTAGATTTGCACGAATTTTTTAACGCGATATCTTTAACGATATTTCTACTGTTTGTTTTCAGAGAGCGATCTGGACCACAAGTTCCAATCTCCAAATCGTTTCCGGTTATCCTTCAACCTAAGCAGAATACCTAGCGGCGAGATGTTGCAGGCAGCGGAGTTGAGTTTAACGCGTATCGCGGTGGCGGATGTCGAAAATGTAAGCGCGAAACATAAACGCGGGCGTATACTGGTGTACGACATAATACGACCCGGCGTGAAGGGTCATAGCAAACCGATATTGCGACTGATAGACAGCAAGGTGATCGATGCGACGAAGAACGCCACGATTAATCTGGATGTACATCCAGCCGTGGTGAGATGGATAGAGAATCATCAGGATAACCACGGGCTGCTGGTGCACGTGACTGGTGCGCTAGTTCGCACACGAGAACACGTGCGGCTGAGACGGGCCGTCGACGAGCACAAGGACGCGTGGGTGGTGAGCCGGCCGATGCTCTACACGTATATGGATGACGGCCGTTATGAAATGGCATCCGCGAATCAGATACTGGATCGACGGGCCAGGCGAGCCACCCTACGGAAGAATCGGCGGAAGGACGGCCGCGAGAATTGCCGACGGCATCCGCTCTATGTCGACTTCGCGGACGTCGGCTGGAACGATTGGATCGTCGCGCCGCCCGGATACGACGCCTTCTACTGTCACGGTGATTGCCCGTTTCCTCTGGCGGACCATCTGAACTCGACAAATCACGCGATCGTGCAGACCCTCGTTTACTCAACAAAGCCAACAATGGTACCTAAGGCGTGTTGCGTGCCGACCGCGCTCAGCTCGATATCGATGCTTTATTTAGATGAGGAGAATAAAGTAGTGCTGAAAAACTATCAGGACATGGCGGTCCTTGGATGCGGTTGCCGTTAAGACAACTGACAGCACTATTTTTATTCTATACGATCAACGTAATCATTGATCGAGCAGGATAAGTTGAAGTATTATCCCACATAGCGCCATGTCTGAAATCGGAACATAAAACGTCTATTTTTCTTATTTTGTACGGATTTCCTACCCAATTAGATAAATTTATCGCTTAGGTCGTAATGTGTATTTGACTTCCTTGAGGAGCAGAGATCATACGATATTGACAGTTAATATCCTTTCAAATCGACATTTGTCTAACACCAGGCCTTATGTCTTTATATCTTAATCAGCTCTGACTTAATAAAGATATCATTTATACACATTACTGGAGCGATATTGCTTCTTGAGTGAAGATACGCATTAATTCTCAATCATTATTGGATGGAACGATGTTCTTCTTAAATGCAGAAAAACCATATACATGGAGCATAGGTGGAATCGAATTTGGATCCACAGCTCACGCGAGTCGACCGCCCAGAGCGTAAAGCCACTTAACTCTCTCCATGAGACGTCTTATGTCCCGATTTTGGACATGCGTGTTGTCTGAGATTAGAGGTACGGTCAACGATGTTATAAATGTTTTGAAGCAACTAATCTTTGATTGGTCAATTTGTAAAATTCTTTCTTCAAAGCATTTATAGAGACTTGAATCGTACCTTAGGACATGGCAGTCCTAAATCATGGACTGACGTTGAGGCTCTTGACTACATCGTACGGTCTCATTTGCTTGCACGCGAGACACATTGGCTGGTATTCATAATTCTTATTTCAAGATCATCTTAAGTAATGTTTTAAGATGCTAATACGTATTTCTCTTTTAATTGATTTATAACACCTTGAGACTATTTAGATGATCTTAAATATAATAATCGACAATGAATATCGGCCATTTGATCGTCGAAATAATGAAATGATGCGAAAAGAAATGAAAAAAGATAGAGATTATTTAATCTGCGTGCCGTAGACCGATTCACAGTTTTGTGTGTGCTCGCTACCATTTTTACGGATGAAAAAGATAATTTTTGACTTTTTTTAGGAGACACAGTTGACACAAGTATTATTCTGTCTTTATCATTGATTAAATGTCGGAAAGGATAAAACGAAGTCGACTGCATTTCCTAAAGAGAAAACAGTCTTAGAATGAAACACACACAAGTAAAGTTATTGTAAATTGTATATTCTTAAAGGAAGAAAGGACAGAATTTATCATCAAGAATAGTGTATGATAAATTTAATCTGTTGCTAGACATGGTAAACGATAATAAAATAGAGATAAACGCGAATGGTATTATATTGCTATTCAATAACAAGATTGACTTTGGGAGCATTCATCGAGGAAAGTTTTTTGTAGAATCATTTTTTATATAAAATTGTAAATCGAAGATTACCTTTAATCGATATAAAAAGGTCGCTCTTTAAATCTTAAGATTAAATCGAAAATATTTTTTTTTTTTTTTAAGATTTTACTTATAATGTCTACTATTTATTCATTTTTATTATGTGCAAATTTTCACTCGTTTTCTCGGGCGATTATTATATGTGGAAAATGTGAATATTAACGGGAAGTAGCACGAGAGAAAAATTCTAATTCAGAAGAAATTAGCTGACTTGAAATGAAGCGAAGTAAACTATAGATAATTCGCTGATTAAAAGATTCATTCATTAGATCTCGATATAGATCAGTTTTAAACAGGTTTTATAGCCTTTGACTTCTACTAGAAATGAAACGATCGATGTTGACTTCTTTTTTCCTCAAGTAGAATTTTTTTCTTAAATAGAATCGCTCCATTCTTTTGAGATCGCCGGAACTGAGTTATCCCTCCATTGAAATAACTTGTCAAGCCTCACTTTCGCTCTAATGGTATCTGACCACGTGGTTACATGGCGTATGTGCAGTGAAAGACAAAAAAAATATTCAATTTACAAGAGGACAGCTGTCTCAAAATCAGAGTTGGTAAAGACTAATGTTTTTTTTTTTTTTTTTTTAAATAAAACATATTTGTTTTTTCTTAAATATATGTTTAATGCTTCAAATATGCTTTAAACAGTACTATAAAAGAAACATATTTAAAACATATTAAAAACTTCAATTAGCATGTTTAAAACACGTTGCTCAAAACGGAGAGCTTCTACTATAATTAGTGGATTTACGTTTGGCGTAATATGAATTGATCTAATTGTCTGCCTATTAAAAAATACGAGTTAATCAAGAACGATTGACACCGTTAAGCTTCTAATCGTCATTAAATTTAACTGCGTAACAGAATCAAGTGACAATTGCGATAGTTACCGGGTCATTGCCAGAGTTTATTGAGAACGCGACGATGAGAGTAGCTACTCGTTTAGCAAGCTCAATTGCAAGAAAATGATGATAAGAATAACTTCTATTTAAGAAGTGATGGCCGAGAAGTACAATTTTACGAATTAATATCCACGAAATATATCGTTCGGATCTTCGTAATGCGGAGGATACAAGAAGTGCACGAATGTCTTCGCATATGACTGTCGCATTCTTCATTTACATTCTTTATCAGTGATTTTTTTGTGAAATTGTTCTCGGAAACAAATTCTACTGAATCTCTCGGCAGGACACTAATTATAAATCTAATTAATCTGACCGCGCATATTTAACTTTTATTCGATTGTATTAGTATATTCATATCAGGGAATAAAACGTTATTATAAATTATGAAAGATTATATATTATATTCGCGTAAAGAAAGAGCTGTCATTGTAATGTTTAATTCAATATGCAAATAGCATCTGCAAAATACACTTCATATATTATTATTTAACAATAATATACATACATATTGATACATACATTGTCTCAATAAGTACATGAAGAAAAATACGTTACGATGCAATGTAAATTTCAAATAAAAACATTCCATCGATCAAAGTGACTGCTCTTTAAATATTTGTTTTCTTTTGAAATAAATTGGAATTTTATTTACTTTAAACGCGCTCGATTTTATCTATCAAGCTTTTATGATACATGAGTTTTTAAAGAGCGAGATAAAACAATCAATTAAATTTAACATATCTCTAAAGACAAATTATACCGAGTGATAAAAATATGTACAAGCGAGATATATAACTTTTTATGTACTTGTACAATCATAAACTCATATAATGCGTTAGATGTCAATTAGATATTCGTGAAAATGAGATGAACGGTGTGTGTGAAAATAAACGCGATACAACATATGAAGCGATTAATGTCGGCAAATATTGCGCATCACTAACTATAACATATCACACTGCAAGAAACATTGTAACACTTCAGCAAGTGAGCAATGAAATCACGTGTCGGAAATACGCAATTGACTAATGATATTTTCAGCGATGTAGAAATATCTCTTCTACACGCGATGAATTATCAACCGAGGCAACGTTGACCGTTTTTGTACTGGAAATGTACATAAATGGGTACCTCATCGTGGTCGTTGGATCGCATTAACGTTTCCGCAATGTTATCATAGTGTTTTAAAAGGACTAAAGGGACAGGGCAGCAAATTAGATGCGTAAATCGACATGTCCGGTTACGCGCTAACACGGAGCAACGAAGAGTATGCATTCCATCTCTTTAGATACGAGTGCATACCTATGTAAATCCTGCCGCCGCGAATAGATTGTACCTGCCTAAGGATTACTCTATTTATTTTTTTTTCTTTTTGCCAAAAGATTTTGAACACACGTGTATATTTGTACAGAAGTGTTATTGATAAGCGAGCGCCGTTGTAAAATGTGTAAAATAGATAAGATAAACGAGTCTGTGTAAACATTGTAAATAATATATTGTAAAGTGTCGTGCGATATGTATATTCTTATATATTTTACTATTATCTTCCTAATTTCACACGATTGTATACAGAGAGTGCGTGTGTAAATATTAAATAAATTTAATATAGCAATAACGAAAATATATATTTTATGCTTTTCCAGATCGTATTACAGCAGACGTCTTTAACAAAGAGGAATAGCAGCACATAATCGAACAATACGTGCAAAAAGTATCTAACTCACACAATTTGTATAACTTGAAAAGTATATTTAATTTGATTTTATTTATCACAGTAATTACAATTAAAATTGGTGAAAACGACAACAAAAATTGAATGCACAGTGGCTAATTATTTAAAATATTTTATAACGCAGCGACTATAGCTGTGTTCCGATATATTGTCAGTACTGAAAATCTGCGGTATGCATAACGTGAACTGTAGATTTTTAGAACCAATAATGTATATCGGAACACGACTTATGTAGCAATACTATTTATCATCTAAAAAGTACGTTTAATATAAAAAGACACAATATCTCAGAGCATCGTTGAACAAGATTTGTATCAATCTTACATATATATCGTAAAACATCTTTCATGTGATAATTTTTATACAATTTTGTTTAAATCACACATCGGTGTTTTTCATGAGATTGAAAATCCTGATTCCATATAGATTAAATTATGTGATAAAATTTTGAATTATTCGAATATTTACCGTATTTTTTGTATAAAAATATTAAGTATTATATGCTTTGTATAAGAAAATTTTGATTTTTTTGTGGCAATGTTAAAGACTTGTCAACTCTGATTAAGTCCAGGCCCATGAAGTTCTATAAAGCTTTCAAGTGAACGTGGAACGTTACCACGATATGGTAGGTCATAAGTCTTAATTGCTTTGGCTGCCATACACGTTAAGGACAATTTGGTCCGAGTACGTAATATTATTTTAGCTACACCTGAAATAGAAATTAAATTGAATTTTGGCCAAATAATCACATAATAACGCAGAAATGAAATACGCAAATCAGTAATAAAATTTGCAAATTTACCCGTAGTAACCGCATCGTACGGGGTATGACCTCTATTGTTTACAGTATCCATATGTGCTCCAGCTTCAATCAGATCTATTATAATTGAATGTAAGGTCGCAAAATCGCTGAAAAAATATTTTAAAAATCAAATCTGTATTGATATAAAGTTGGATAATATTAATTTTAACAGCATATATACCTAATTGCTTTACTGTAACCAACAATAACGTGAAGCGGCGTATTTCTTTCATTATCCATCGCATTTATGTCAGCACCGCAACGAATTAATAATCGTGCTGTAGCTGCACACGGAAATCTGGAAACCGAGCAAATAATTTGTTCAATACTAATCTTGATTGTTAATCCTATTTTAATATGGCATTTAATATGACATACTTGCAGACATCATTAGTATGAAAATCGTCGACAGGAGTTTCAGCATTCACAGCAAGATGTAGTAAAGTTTGTCCATCTTTTAAACATACTTTTAACGCACATAATTTGTGTACTAGATGATGTGCCTGTGTCAAATCTGATTCATCACTGTTTCCATTAAGAGTCATCAATTTTGTCAGAATCGTTAAAATGTATAGAGTTGTTGTAATATTCGATTCCATCTCTTCCTATGAAGACATTATTTCTAAATATATAGAGATATGTTTTTGTTTGTCACAGTAATATGATATAGTCACATGTACTAATCTAGTCTATTAGGTCAACATATTTATAAAAATACTTCATGTAATTCACCTATTGTTGTTTTTTGCTATAAGCAGTTGAACTATGGCATTAGCTATGCAAGTGAAAAGAACGTTCCTTAAATATCGCAGGAAAATATATTGTCGAGTGCAGACACACTAGACATCACTAATGCATACGATTATAATATGTAAAATGTAGTCCATAAATCAAAGTCTCTTTTATTGAACTTACAACACATTGATCGATGTCATCCTTAGAATCCGGATTCTGGATTTTGACCTTGTTTCTATTCAACTCTGTTACGCTTGCTTCCAGAACATTTATCACTTGAGAAATATCTAGATCGACGCCCACGTGTATCATTTGCGAGAAAACTTGCGCAAATCGAAGGAGGTCTGTTACAACGGATATATCATTGAGTTGTCGTAATTTCAAAGCGTGCAACCACAAATCTATACATCTATCAAATCTGGCGTTATCTGCAAATATAGCGCCTCTGAATACTATAGGATGTGGCAGTTCCGGATTATGGAGACCTGAAAAACAAACAATATTAGTTTTTGTAAAAAAAGAAACGCAATCTTATTTTATAATACAAGCATGAAACACATATTTACCTAATATTCTCTCCCGAATAGCAAGCGATTCCATATGTATAGCATTGGGATTGAATTTAATACTTTCTAAACTTTCTATTGTTTCGCATTCTTTCCAGTTCTCATATGCTTTCACAGTTGAACCTAGTTGCTTATGTATAATATTTTCAGTATCACTATACCTAGAACGAGAAAAATACGCAACGTAAAATAGTGACTCGGTAAGATAGGAATAAATATTTATTCTTTTACCTTAGTTGCATCGCCTTCCATAAATACGTGTATGCCATATTTAGACTATAATTATCTTTATCATTAGCGTACGATGCTCCAAGTAGTTCATAAGCATCTATTTTTTCTTCCTTTGTCACTTCTGGCCTTTTTACTAGATATTCAACGACTTCCTCGCGCGTCCGTTCGGCAGCCGTTATTAAAGGCGTCATACCACTCACATTCTTCGTCATTTGCGCTCCATGTTTCAACAACTCGTACACGATAGTATTATGTCCACATTCAGCAGCAAAATGCAATGCCGTTGCCCCACAATAAGCTTTCTTGTTTGGATCTGCCGCTTTGTCTAATAGAAAATTAACCTAAATTACAGAAAAAATTGGAAAAATTTACGTAACAATGATTGCACAATAAACACACGACAAGCAATGGAGTTTTTTGTAATATGAGCATACTCACAATATCCAAGTGTCCTTTGTACGATGCTATCATGAGGCAAGTATTGTTAAACATATTAGGAATATTTATATCTGCTTGATGATTGATCAAATATTTAACAATGTCTAAACGTCCATTAAAGCATGCCGCTCGAAGCGGGGTAGAATTAGTCTTCGTTGTATGGTTGACATTTGCTCCTGCCTTCACGAGAGTTTTAAGAACGTTTAAGTGTCCTGCTCCTAAAATCGACATGGATTATTAGCGCTACAAAATTATTACAATATTCTGTTTACATATTATTCTGTTACTATACCTGCTGCAGCCCAAAGTGCAGTAGCTCCTTCGATAACGTATCCATTGAATTTCACCGTTCCTTCCTGCTCTAAATCAGGTTTAAACTTGTCAAGCAACATTCTGACTACTTTGTTATGTCCATAACGCGCGGCAACTATTAAAGGTGTGCACCTTTGTCCGTCATCTTCTAGAACTTTCTGTAAATATAAATTCAAATACAAATCTAAATATTGGCTGCATTCAGCAGAAAAACAGCTTTGCAACTGTTGTAAAATTCTTAAATATAATTGATTTATACATTTAGATCCAGTGAAGAACTAAGGGCAAGGCTAATCAATTAAAGAATTTTACAACAGTTACAAAGCTGCTTTTTCTCTTGAACGCAGCCATTGTTATATAAACATAATTGCACTTTTTTTAAAATCCCGATTAGTTATAAGCAAACTATTTTTTATTATTTAATAAGTTGATTATTTAATAAAAAAAAATTAAATATATTATATTTAAAAATAGAGAAATTATATAATATTTTATAAATAATTTGCATAAAGGTTTATAAAATTAATAATAATATAACAATAATGTTTATAATATAAAAAGAATTTAAAATCTTACAGCCTATATTATAAATAATCACATCTACACAGCTTTCTTCGCATATGCACATATCTAAACAAGTGTTGCAAGTTGTCCTGAATAATTCTTTGTGTATCATGACACAGATGTATTTTATATTTATATAAGAACAATTTAGTCAGGAAATTTTAATTATAATAAATTTTAAAATTATGTATATGTTGATTAGTAAACGTATAGACTTAATATTTTTGTCAATTTAAATGTAGATAATATACAATTCAAAGTACCATTGTTCACTATGTTGCAATAAATAAGACTATTTTATAAAAAAGAATTTAATTTAATTAAATAAAAATATATCAAATCATCTATAGTTCAATTAACAAGCCTGTTGTTGATAAAATTTTATTTGCAAAGAATTTACAATTTAATTAGTATGTTTTACTGAAGTATTTAGTAAGTACACATTATACATTGTTAATACATGTATATGAGTGTTCTCAATTTGGTGACACAAATCAATACAAATATTGTTCGTTTTTGTTATTTATGGAGTTGCAAAAAACAGAAAATAATGTTTGTAGCTTTGTGTTACTATTGTCCGTTTTCACCAATGTAGATTAATTTCAATCTTGATACAATTTATATTTTATCTTTTTAATTCTTAAAACTGGAAAAAAATAAGAGTAAGTTAATTCGAAATTAAAGTTAATCTACACTGGTGGAAATAAGCATAAAATGATCTTAAATTATCGTATATATCTCTTAATAAGTATCTAAAATCGATGAATTTTATGTTTTTAACATAACATATGCATAAATTATTTAAAAATGCCTTACATCTTTGCATTCATATCTCTGCACTCCTTTCTTTTTGTACAATATAAGAAATGGAATAGTTCATAATTCAAACATTAATTGAATAAAAAACAGCAAATGATTATATACAGGGTGATTCATTTTAACAGATAATTTCAAAAATATTTAATTTTATTAAAAAACATGCTAAATACAAGTTGTTTGGTATAAAAGGAGACAATAAGTCCCTCTCTACACCAGACTTTTATTTGATAAAAAAAAATATGTATATTTTCCAAATATTTACTTATTACAATTGAAATAAAACATCCTGTAAATAGTAATTTATTGTTTTTAATAATATTTATTGCAATTGCAATTTTTTAACAGGAGATAACAGGACAAAGGTCAATATTTGTTCACGATCAATCAAATGTTTTCGACATTTGTCAAAATGAACAACTGATTGAACAGTGCGATTTCGCAAGTGATGAAAAGTGAAAGGTGACGCAACAAAATATTACGATTTTACCTGGTTAATCAAACAATCGACTTCTACATCAGCGATCGCCATTCCGTCCCTTGCCGAATAATAAATTCGTTTGACCAGTGACTGCTGGGGCTCGTCGATTATCTCGCAGGTAGTGTCCATCCTCGTGAGTGGCTCGTGCCCGAGCAACGTTCAGGCGGTTCAGGAAAAGAATCAGCTGAGCTCACTCAGAGACGTAGTAACCTCAAAACTCATGTTCCTCGCTCGTCGTCAGCGCGCGGAAAATACATCGCACGTTACCGTCGTCACTCCTGCAGTGCCGCCGTCGCCGCCGCCGTCGTCGTCGCGATCTATTTTAAGATTGTGTTGCACGCAAAAATATAGTGATTTCGTATGCAAAAATAAACCGCGACAAAGCGGTTTTTACGCGGCGTCGCGAGCCTCTTTGTGACTTTGTCGCTACGACGTCAATAGCAAACTCAGGCAAACGTTGGTATGCCGCGAGATCCCCGTTCGCCTTCGCGATCGCGTGCCACTCGTTTGAAAGCTCAGCAGTTCGCCGAACGAATCCGAATCATTTGCTATTCGTTGCGACCGTGTTGTTTACTTACGGGAACTTGAGGAAACACTTGCTCCATTTGCAAGCTTCCGATCACCGATGAATCCGACCATCCGACGAATGTACATTGAACACGTCACAGAACGTGTCGTGACGTCGCGAATTGCGATCGACGACAATCGCTTGCTCACGAAGAAGGCGTTGGATTGGGCTTTTCGATGTAATCGACGTGAATCGACCAATGACGACGCGGCGTTTGTTCTCACCAGCGGAATTTGTGATGAAATTCGCGCAAATCGCGATTTTCCGCAATATGAATTATGAAGTGATATTTATAAAATCTTGGAATCAATTATGCATCTTGAAAATTACAAGAATGAGCAAATTTCTATTTTTAATTTTAATTTTTACAACTTGTTACAATTTAACAACTTGTTCTTTATTTTTTTTTGATCTACTAAAAAAAAGATGAAGAGTTAGTTGATCCAAAATTAAAATTAAATTGATAAAAACAGGCATAAGTGACGATCAATGAAATTATAAATGTTCTAACGAATTGGATGATTTTTTTATTTTTCACACCTTATTTCACAAGATATATAATCAACTTCTTGATTTTATATTTATTAATTCTTCGCATACATGAAGTTTTTGAAGATATCGATACTTTGATTGTGAATTCTAGTGGATATATTTAAATCCGTACAAATAAAATACAATCCGATTTTTACGATGGTAAAAATTTGTTATTAAATTCTTTGACAAATATATAAGATTTTTATATAATAAAGTATTATTGTGAAAGAATTAAATGTTGCTGGCGGATGGTTAAAATCATCTCAAATATATGTATGTGATTTCGATATGCTATATGATTATCTAAATTGATGCTACATTTCTTTATCTAGATGAAATCTGAAAATCATCTCAAAACAGATTTATAAGATGATTGGATGTAAACTCGGATTTTATGAATACTGCTTCTAAATTTTATCTCGATAAAAGAAAACAAGAAACGATGCAGGTGACGATATTGCAACCGATATACATGTATTTATATGCGAACTTGTTGTGTATCTCGCGTAAATGCGCAGATATCATGACTCGCAAAATTTTACCCGCAATGTACGAGAGGGACAGATTCTTTATAAAAATTTTTTTTTTCACTAAAGTTTCAATGATAGGATAACTCCATATACGTTAGATATCAAATCGAAAACTTTCAAATTTCGAAATTTATTTGTATAGAATTTTTATGAACTTTCATACATTAATAAACTCTATAAATATAAATTATCATAATAATAAATTAATATATATTCAAATCTACTGTGAGCGACTCACAAAACTTGTTTTCTATTTGGTACTTGCCACATTATAATTAAATTGCAATCATTTTCATAGAGTCGATCTTTATTATATTCAGACATGAGAAATTAATCTCTATGTACATAATACTTCTGTAATATATCTGTCGCTATACTTTTCATTCTGGATGCACACATATGTGAATAGCTGCAAACGTTCTTTCATTGTTATTTATATGTATTTATTAACACATCATAAAAACTGTTAAAAGATAACTAAAAATATATATTTATATATAACTGTAAATAGTATAATATATATTCATTTATTATAAAAATGTATATTTTTCTTTTTACTTCTCTTATCTATACACTATATCTTGTACTCTTCCACACGAGATGATAAATTATTAAATTATTAAATAATTTTGCGAGCTTGAATACTAAAGGAGTTGGCAAAGATCGTGCTCAAGAATCACAACCATCATATTCCTTACTGCCCGACATCAAGACGAGGCGAGAAGAGCTCCGACGCTTCATGTCCGCGATCCCGCAAAGGCGGCGCTTCGCACGAAAATCGGAACGTGACAACTGATAGCATCATTGTCATGACACGTATAAATTCTTTCATGCGCGCCAATTGCGCATATTTGGGCGAGACTAAATTCGGAGATCCTAATATCTATAAGCCATCTTCTAATCTTTTACAACTAATGAGATTCATTAATGGCAAACACAACAAAGTGGGATATGCATTTTGGGCGATTTGGGGAGCACGCTGAATTCTATTTTTTTTACTTAATTTTATCTGATAAATCTGAAAATCATAGTTAAAATATTCCTAAATCAATATTTTTATAGAACATTAGCAAAGTCTTAAAGACATTACTTAAAACAGTCTTGAAATAAAAATGAACCATTTATATTTAAGATTATACTTAAAACGATCTTAAATATAAAAAAAAAAGATTATGAATACTGGCTTTAATATTTGGGAAAAGGAGACATATTTTAAAAATTTTAAAGAAAAATGGCTGCTTTTATCATTTTGTTGAGCCATATCAGTGAATTTCTCTTTCAATCCATTTTTATTAAAAATAGATGGCTTTACTTTTACTAATATTTGAAAAAAAATCTGTCTTAAAAGATGCTCGTGCGAAACGAACTCTTTATCTAAAATCAAAATTTATTAAATGATTTTACCAATTTATTTTCTTTAGTATTAATAAAAGCCACAATTTTAATAAGAACAGATTGAGAGAAATTTGCTAACATAGATCGACATGTAATGATGAAAAATCAACTGTTGTTTTTTCTGTTTAAATATATATTAAATTTTTTCACAATTATTTTGACTATATTTATCAATAAGTAAAATTGAATATAAAAAAGATGAAATCATAATTCTTATTCTCCAAATTACTCGAAATGCATATCCTTTCATATCACATTGTAATAAAAATTCTAACACTGTAACACACGTATATGTCGTTACTACACAATCATTTTAGAGACGATTTCTATGAACTTCTAATATTCTTGAATATCCATTATATCAAGTTTCCAAATATTCATTAAATATTTTATTATCTTTGTATAAAAAGTTATATATAAGACATATAAATACACATGATGTCATATATAATGCGTTAAAAAAATATTAATTTTTAAAGAGAAAGATTTCAGAAATTATAAGTAAGTATATCATACATTAACTAGATATTTCTCATCATAGATATTTTATTATATCTTTCTCTGACGTAATTTCTTTTTTATTTTTTTTTCTCTGTCGAGGCACGATATTTGTAATTTCAAGAAAATTTGTTTTAGACAAGAATTTCTTTTTTTTTCAATATAAATATTTTGATGTGACACAAGTAAAACTGTCAATATTAATAGATATTTCGATATATATATATTTATAAGATCATTTGGATATTCAAGGAATATTTGAGAATCTTTATATTACGTGAATATGCTGTATGAAATATTTTCTTCACACACAAGAATTTGTATGTAAAAATATTCCATACATCTCTGTATATGTTTGTGTTTATAATTCATCGACGATTTTTCTAAAATCATTTGGCATCCTATTGATATATATTTTTCGCATTATATCTTCGTGCATTACGGGAATAAACTCGTTGAAAATACCAATCTGACTCGTTAGGCTGTGTTGCACGTCTTCGTGCATTTCTACGGGAATAAACTCGTTGAAAATACCAATCTGAATCGTTAGGCTGTGTCGCACATCTTCGTGCATTTCTACGAGAATAAACTCGTCGAAAATACCAATCTGAATCGTCAGGTTGTCGATGTTTGTCATACTTATAAAATCTGCACAAAAAAGCATTACTTTTTAAAACTAATAATTATTTGTAAGCGCATTAAGTTATTTGAATTCGTAATAGATTGCAATATTATATAAATTGTATTTTGTTGGAAATTAGTACCTTTCGTTATCATTCCTTTCGTTTGTATTTATATAGTATTGATTATCTTGTTTCATTATGCGACTATCAAATGAAGAATGTTTAGACATATGATAATCAACTGTGTGCTCTGATATGTGATTCTTTATTTTATTTTGAGAGGGTATATACTTTTTTTCATAATTTGCTTTATCATTAATAATATTTTTGGTGGGATCATTTGATTTAAAATATTCTTTTTTCTTTGGTCTGTTTTTTTCTTTGGCAGGCAAAATTTTTGCAGAGTTTTCGTGATCCATTACAGTTCTCTTGCTGTTTGTATCACATTTATGTTTGTAATTCTTTGTTTTATACTGAAACAAATTTATTATTTATATTTATCACATGAAATTTTTTATATTATACAATTTCTAAATATATTTACTATTTTTACACATATACTATTAATTCATTTACAATTCAAAAAATTATAAGAAATTAATAATATTTTGCACAAATTTACAACTTACAGTCGGTACGGTATCAAATATGCTCATATTAATATTAAATTCTGGACAATAGTTAGTAGAAAGTGGACATGTATTTTTCGGTTGCGTTAAAATATTATCAAAACTATTATCTGATCGTAAGTCATCATTCTTTCCTTCGCAATATTCAACTGACTCTTTAATGTCTTCTTCATTATCCTCAATCAGTTGTTTTAAGAATTCATTATCATATAGTATATTTTTCAAGTGATATAGTTTCTTTCTCAATTGATGTCTTAA